AAATGTGAACAGTCATTTGGCTGGTGAAGAAAATTTGAATATAGGCTTCGCAGTCTGCCATACATGCAGTAGCAGCCCGCTGTTCACGCCACAACGCTCTCTGGTGTCCCCCCCCCCCCACCAAAAAAAAATCCACCACGATGCATTCCTAAGAACCATTTAATACTATCCTCCCATTTATGCTTAGATCTTCTGAGGGGCTTCTTCCCCTCAGGTTTTCCAACAGAAATGTTACATACATTTCCCATTTCACCATTCGTGCTGCATGTCTAGCGCAACTTATTTTCATTTGATAGCTTTAATACAATTTTCTGAGGAGCACAAATTATGGAGCGAATTGCTCAAATTAAGCACTGATTAATGTAGGCTGTAAGCTCCTCTGGAACGTCGATCAATATCTACCAGACCACAGGTTCTGCATCCAAGAAAACAGACGTTTTCTTCCTTTTTTTTTTTTGTATTTAAGAAAAGTTGCTGGTTGCTGCACGTGGGAATGGCTCCTTCAGAAGATAATGTGGTGCTCTACGGAGGAGAAAGTTGCTATAAACTTGCCTGACTGCCAACTTTGCCGTATTCTCACGTACTCCATTCCTATTATTCATAATCAGACGCACCTGTGTTGAAGAGGAATTTCTGTAATAAGGCAACAAGTCATAATTTGAACTCCTTCACTCCTGCGGTCTTGTGCGCCTTTTAACATTAAACCGAGTGTTTTCGCCTGTAAGTAAAATAAGGTTTTTTTTGTATTGAAATTTTTTGGGCTAGTAGTATCGACTAGTTTCTCAAGGTATTCTCGATTTTTAATACTTGCATTGCTTTTAACATATATCATTAATAGAACAAGCACTGAAGACGGTGACTGTATGTTCCTCCGAAACATTGGTATCTGCCAAAACGTTCACAGGGCGTTACTAACCAAAAGCCCAACTTTGGCATGATGAGATTTAAGGTTCTCCCTGTGTAAACTAGTAGAAATTTACTGACGTTTCAAAGTTGGTTACTCCCTCCATCATCAGGGCGATCATTGCTGTGATAATGGAGACAACATTGAATGAAAGCTTTGTTATGAATGATGACTGTAGAAGTTCTGGCGAGATTTTGCCTTGGCATGTACTATCCTAGCGCTTGTAAGGAGAATCTGAAGTAAACCATGAGGAATTTCAGTAATGATTGCCGGCTTCATTTCCGAAAATCTAATCTCGGACTTCTCTGAAAGGAAACAGGTTTGTACTGCAGCCATTGTAAGGACAGAGGGGAGGTGTTATTTTGTACGATAGTCGGGATCATACTGTGCGTTTCGCCTACGTCACCGGCTTGCCGGTAGAAGGAAGAACAGGCTTACTATGTAAACCAAAGCCATTGCTGATATAAGGACTGAGTTTTTGTGTTGGACTAAGTTTCCACTGCTAGTCTGCAAGCGAAAGAAAAATATGATTTACTTAGAGGAAGATGACTGTTTTCTGAGTTGTAGCGCCGTGTAGTCTGGTACAAGATTACCAACTTTTCAGAGGTCCTTACTGCCTCCATCATCAGAGCGATGAATAAGTGCACTTACTCCAATATGATCCTGATGACGGAAGCAGCAAGGACCCATTAAACGTTGGTGAACTTCTACCAGACTACACAGCGCTACAATCCAGAAGACAAACATATTTGTACTCACCGCCGTGTGAATCTAAAAATTTTACTTAATTTTCTTAAATTGTCGACTGTCATGTCTTAGTTTAGCCAACTCGTGTCTGAACAAGAGAATCGCTTTCAAAAATTTTCTGGGGGGATGGAATTCCCTTTGTTTTGCAATGAAGGTCTTACGTGCTCTATAGAAGAAACCTGCGTATCCATAACATGGCGTGCTCTAATATTGAAAATATATTTTGGTGTAAAGTCGGTGTTCATGACCTGAAAAATGAACAGTTCTGAATATTCGCATTTCTGTATTCCAGTGGGGAAGCAGTTCAGCGATGAAGTCAGTCGGTCTTTTGGGATCCGCGTCTTGAACGATAGGCCGCTTTTAAAAGCCCCGGTAAGAAGTAGATGTCGGTATGCCATGCACTTCTTGAAGTCAAAAACAGAAATTGTAATTCTGTCCTTTGGTGAGAAGTAGTTGAGAGTGGTCCTGGGCTGCCATGCAGAAGATATTACAGCCAAATGCGTCACTGGCTGATGGAGATAAAAGTTGGATGTTTTAATTGGTAATAAAGAGCGTAGTGGATAGAGAAAAAAGTGGTTTGCAGGAACAGTTTTCATTCATTTCTGTAATTGGCTGCCCTTTGCCGTTCGTTTGACTTTTTTATATGAAAACTAAAGCCTTGAGAGGGTGATATTTACATATTTAATATTGTTTAACCGGCATTCCAACTTCATAACAATAACATAAGAGTCAATTTTGTTGTCCATAATGCACTTGTTAATCATAATACACGAGCTTGAAGATGAGAGTGAGTTTTCGAAACGTTGTTGTAATTATCCAATAAATATAAATAAAGCTTATTTACAAATCTGTTAGTCGCTAAGTAGTAAGTAAATTCTCTGACTTTTGTGGTACTCGAACGTTTATTACCGTGTTTACAGCAGCTAGCCACTAGACGTTGACTTGATACAGATAATTTCATTTCACACTCTTACAATCTGCTTCGAAAAGCAATTTTTTACCTTTTATTCGAAGTAATGTCAGGTTTTTCGACAAAAATCTTGTAACAATAATCATTTACTAAAGTTAGAAATTTGTTAAAAATTTAGGGGGATTTAATATGATTATGCGTGCTTCTATAGTCTGAAAATTTTATAACTGTGTATTATTTTGTAAGTGCAGAATATTTATCGCTCAGCTCTCCGACCTAGAGGTCAGTTTGGAGCAGCCGCTCGTGACCAGAAAAATATATGACCGATTACTGCATTCAACTTTGATAGTTCCGCACATTGCCTCCGTTTTCATCATATATGGACATTTTGTTGCTTTTGAAACCTGAAAATTAATTTGATTCATGTATGCGATTATTGGTTTGTTGACCGATATAAATTCTCTCTTTTGTGGAACTTGAATATCAGTTTCTGGGAGAATTCACATAATTTATGTTATTCTGTTCACTTAAACTATTGATTTAACTGTATTATTTGCTTGTACCTGATTTAACAGGAATAAAGAATATTGTCTATTAAAGAATTGTATACTAAATACGATTAATTCATAACTTTGACTATTGCTGTAGGTTGTCGTAGCTAGAGTTAAACTTAGATTTTATTGTCATGGTTACTTCCACGCAGCTTACTTAAATTGTGAAACTGACGAAGGGTGTGTGCCTCAAGAAAAATGATGTCCCATATAGATATGTACACATTATAAAATTGATCTCCATGTGTGATTGTCATTTTGAAGACGTAGATTCCAGTTAGATTCATTAATTTACTATGTACCAATGATGACGTATGCAATGGTTTAAGTTATTAAAATGTTTGTATTTTATTCATTAAATGTTTGCATTCATCTGTTTGGGACTTTATATTTTAAACAAAGATTAGTGACAATGAATAGATTTTGTGAGTTTGGCTGTCCATCAAAGGCCAGACAAAAGTACCGATAAATTCTTCTAAGCAAATTGCAAATTATGTGCTCGTTAATTTATGTGAAACGGTTCACCAACAGTCATATTTGGTCATTAATTTCTTTTATGGTCGGGACCAAGTTCTAGGTTCAACTTTCAGCCCAAAGAGTTCATACTTTATTTAGTCTGACAAATTCGACGAAACCAGTTAAAATAGGTCATGATCGCTCCCTTACATAATATTTTTTAAAATTATTAATTAATTATTTTACAATCTGACTTTATATAGTCTGAGATGCCAACAGTTTTTTTAAATGAATCACAAATAAAATAAATAGTATGGTTTATTACTGTGCCTTGTTTTAATTGTTTTCCATTTGACCGCGTATTAAAAATCAGAATAATTCAAAACCTTATTTCCTTTCATGAATAGGCAAGACATAAGACACGACAAAGAAAAGTGTAAAAGTTAAAAAGAAATCATACGAAATCTCATGTGTAGTAAAACGTTCTTAATATCGTGTATCAACACATTTTATCACAAAAAGCAGTGCAAAGAGAAAAACCATATACAATGTTTACTAAGATTGCAATAAACAATAAGAATATCATGGAATTTCGAATAATGATCAGTAAAAATAATTTTAGTTCTGTGAATTTGAACATAAAAATATAAAATATAACATGCAAGTAATTAAATTTGTGTATGACTCTTTCTTCTGGAGGCGGAAGTTAGGAATGAACGTGTTGTGCAGTTCAAGTATAACTTCTGTAATGAACAGAAACTACATTTTGCAGTCCATGAATTTCCCTCGCTTTGCATTTGCAGTTCCGCCGAGGAAGTTGGCAATCTTGGACGAAAACGGGACGAATGTGCATCAGAAGCGTGTGATCGGGCCGTACACAGAAGGAAGTACCGTTCAGATAACCTGCGTTGCCACCGGGGGTAAGTACCTGCTCAGATTGCAGTTACTTAGGAAAATTCTGACACGAGATTATTTGAAATTAGAGAAATATATTTGTAATAATTCCAGAAGACTTTAAGCTTATGTTTTCGTCAAATGAAGGCAAGCCTATGTAGTATGTATTTGTACGTGTATATACATTCATAAGGGAATATAAATGTTAAGCACGCTAGTTCACACAGACTACCACTATTCAGTCTACAGATCACCCATAGTTGACGAGATGGCAGTGAACGGGTACGAAGGTCGAGCACAGAATGCATCCGCTATGCTCAATTACAGGTGATCGAACGAGGCAGTAGCACTTGAAATGCCTCCATAAATTCGATTCACATTGAGTGATTTCATCACAAACGAAACGTCGTAGATAAAGGGGTAAATGGATTTGAGATTTCTGGTTCTCCAGTCGGCGGGTGTGGATCTGTAGGTACATACGGTTTCGAAGAAATATAGTGCCTACATCTTCAGGAGTCCTTCTGAGTTGTAACCCCGTCAAGACTTATAGGTACAGAGGATAAGAACATATTGATTTAGGTTGTAAGCGAACTAGTAGGTAGATACCTACATTCTGGAGGAACATACAGCCTCCATCTTGAAATCCTGTGTTCCAACGTTCTGTGAACTCGTCTGTATATACCAAGGTTTCGGAGAAACGTGTTGACATAATTGCCAGATTCCTATGTTCTCAAAATTGTATCGCGTCAATGTATCTGCCAGGTCGAATGTTCCTATTAGGCTAAAAATCGGTGGCTAACCTGTGGCTGGAACTAGGTTACTTTATTCAGTTGGAATGCGAGGCGTGCTGGCTGAGGTGTTCTGTCGCTCTCTTTCTTTGTCTTTGGTGTTTGAGTGAGTTCTTTGACGCAGCTGGTGGATGTAGCTTTCAGCATATATCGGCGGGCAACAGGCTGGATTGTTATTACCTCGCTCGCTGCAATGTCTGGTAGCGTCTTTTATAAGTACGTCCTTCATGTATCAATAAAAGACGTTGTGGCGAGGAAGTTTGCTTGCCATGGCAGTTAACTATCCCTTCATGCAATGTTAGACCACAGTTCTTTTTTGTAGGGAGAGTGAAGCCCTGTTACCTAAGTCGACTTAACTTATCTCAGTGTATCGAATATCGCGCATAGTTACCATAATTTTAAAGGTATATTTATTCTGAATAAATTGTGTATTCTCACTCACTAATACAAATTGTTCTAATGTTCTATTTGTAGACTAACAACAGCTTTGTGAACTAATGTAACCATGTCGTATTGTGTAATGACCTCAGAAGTTATGTTGAAGTCTAATGAGCATTTCAGTCCCATCTACCACAAGCTAATTCAATATGTGTGCATGACTTTCTGTTCCTAGTGGAATGTATTAAATGTTATATCAGCTCTTCTTGTGTAGGTAGACAGTAATGAGTTATTTGTGTATTTATATTCTTAAATGTTTGGTATTCTGCAAGTTTCCATCTGTTTGTGAGGCAACTCCTGCCATTTTCGTATATTCACTCATCTCATTAACTTTTCTTAAGCTTCTTGTATTTGAGTCTGTTTGAAGCCTCGGACCCAAAATGTCATTTCATCCAGCCAGCGAACAGAAAGGCACTTTCATGTCATACTCTTGGTATAGGGATCACCTACCTTACATAAGCATTTAAAAAAAGCCCAAAATCTACACATTCACCCTGAAGATGGTAACTGCAATATTTGCCGAACCTTTTGATACCTATCGTCATTCGACTCGGCCAATCCCCGATTCCCCGATAACTAAAGTTACACGTTATATGTTTTAGTTATGGGCGTTTGTAAACGTATTTTTAGTGTGTGGAGGGAAATATTAAGTGATAACATTAGTTATGGAAGTAATAACTGAAAAGGGTAAGTGTTCCTGCACATCAGCGGGACTTCATTAAATTATTTCGTGGTTTACAAACCACTCCCCTCCCCCCCTCAGGCAGCCTACTGCTGGTACTTTACACGTATTTGTCCACAACGCTCCACCGTGTTCAACCGTTAGCCGTCCAAGCGCCTTGGGGGACCAGACCTACCTACCTCCTAACATACCCGACAAAAACAGTTGCTAAACGGTTACAGGCGGTAACACTGCACTTGTTCCATGAGGAACGTTGAATATTTCTTCGTCGTAGCTCAATACTGCCTGTCAGTGCGGAAATTGCCTTCAGTATTTGAATAAGAGATATTTTCCTTTGAAAACATTGCCCGTGTGTAGCTGAGTAAGACAGATGATGTGACTGCCTTCTGTTGGGCCATCAGTCAAGTCCACCATTCCAAGCAGGAGTTGCATCTCCCACTGCAGTCGATTCCTCCACCGCTGGGAACATCATTCTGTAAACCTGCACATCCGTCCTTTATGTCTTTGACCACTTGAGAGTGGTCCACTACAGTAAGAGAGCCCCTCTGCTGGTCCACGAATTCTCATACAGTAAACAATTTATTTTTACAGCATCTAAGTCTGTGGCGTTTTACTACGCGTCCGTTAGCTGGGAAGAGTTAGAAATCTACGAAGCGGATACCCAGATTTATAGAGGAATATTTACCAAAATGACACCAAAGTCTCTCACCCCTGACTGGGAGTGGGGTTTGGGATGTCTCCTTTGCATGTAGTTGAAAATTTCGCCACCAAAACTCACCCTATAACTTGATAAATACAGTACTCTACGAATTTCATTTCAAAGCTAGTTATATCCAAGCTCACAGAAATTGAAGCCAAAAGTACATTCTGCAAATTATCACAGTATTAAACAAGCTTTGAAACTATGTTTCGTACTAAAATTCGTGATATCATTATGCGTTCTTTGCAGTGTACATTTATTTATGATAAAGTAGCAGTGCAGTGGATTTCCGAAATTTGTTTATGGTATCACTGAATGTGATGTGTGATAAATAAAGTGTATGTAATAGAACATTTGTAATGTTTCAGTATAAGTAGGCACTGCAGTGTGTACGGTAGGGACCAGATTACTTGCTGGCTGAGCTCGCTAGTGCTGTGGATAGTTGCACTCGGCACGGCCTGGTCAGTGCACGGAACGGCCGGTTAGGACGGATAGGAAAAGCATGGAGGTGCGCGCGCAGTGCTTATCACCTTGCTCCTCACCTCCGCGCCAAGAACTCGCTAGTAATCTGATCCTTACTGTAGGAGGTTAGCGGGGTTCTTATAGAAACTCCGGGTGTAGATTAATGTATTGCCTTGTGGTCTGTAGGTCGTCCGACGCCGCGTGTCACGTGGTGGCGAGACGGCATTGAGATCGACAACTCAGACGAGTCCTTGTCCGAACGCCGCGTTAGAAACGTTCTGCGCTTGGAGAAGCTGGAGAGACGCCATCTCAACACTGTGTTTACGTGCAAAGCGTCCAACAATGACGTTGTCAGCCCACTTACCTCCAACGTTACTCTTGACATGTACCGTGAGTAGAAAATATTATTTCTTGGTGGAAATTAAACCCATCTGATTTCTTTCTAAACATATTTAGGCAAACATTTGCCTTGGGACTTGCTCAGGAATTCTATGTGTAAATAAGTTATAATTTATGTGACGTTTATGTTGTACAGCCAAAATATTTCACTGAGTTTAATGATGATGCTTGACTAGGAGAACTTAGTTTGCTCATACCTACATATGAAAAGTTCGAGTATAAAGCGACTATGTAGCGCGCTTATATTAGTGTATTTAAAAACATGGGTTCTTAGTTTGTCGCTGATGTAAATTTGTTCACAGCGAATCAACACAGTTAGTGCCACTCAGAAATGTTGTAATGCAAAAGTAAGTTTTTGCATGAATTTTACGTCAGCAAATCTGATCTGCGCTTTAAAAAACAAGATTTTACTACATGCAGTAAGACATCTCTTGTTGGCACTCCGTTAATATTGTCACCCATAAACAATTTTATAACGATGGACAAAAGATTTACGTTCAAAAAGTGTGTCTCGTTCGTGCATATGGGGAAGAATCAATCAGAATCCAACATTTTAATAACTTGTAAAATGTCCGATGTAGTTTTCAGAATTTATTTTTCTGTAATACTGTTGTTTACTCTTTTTACATCGAGAAGCTGCTAAAACTGAATTATGTCTCCATTCTTGGTATTCACTTTTTCCCTTTTCCATAAGAATTATTTGCTTTGATACCTTATTTTAGATTTAGAACTTAACAATAACGTATATTGTTCCACGGCACTTATGTTGGCCAGCTGGCGGTCTACGAAATTTTGTTGTTTCTCGTGATTTTATCGTACGTAACTTAGTTTCAGATACAGCAGTGTGCTGTTACATTAACGCGTACATGACCTTTTATTTTCTGAAAGAAATGGGTCTAGTATTTTTCCATCATTTCACGCAAAACAGCGCTAAAGCTCTTTTCGTTGGTTGGGAAGATGTCAAGATTTGGATCCCAGATTTCAGCGTAGTTCTGCCACCAATAATAGATGTATATATCTGGAGTAAGGAAACTTACTTTGTAATCCTTGATTTCTACACCCACTCGGTATTCCATGTTTTTTCCTTACAACTGGAATTATTTTGTAGGCTTACAAAATATCACAGGAATTTATGTGGCATGTTACACGCTTGAGCGAAGATGTCAGTTGTATACAGACTCTTCGTTTAAGATCACAAAATTCCCTCTCTCCTTCTTTATGATCAGTGTAAAAGCTCAGAACGTCTGTGAATTTGTAACATCTGAAAATACAAATCGGAATGTCTTCTTTTATATGCGTTTGTAAAGCGACTTCTTGAACTGCGTAGTAGGGTTTGAAAAAGTCAGCTGTTTCTGAATATTCTCGGGGCCTTAGAAAACTACTCCGATGAAAACTTGCATGTTTCTAAAGTGTCATACATATTCCACACAAGTTTCTTACTTATTTCTGAATTTCTCGTGGGAATTCGCATGATGATATAAGCAGTCTACATTTACTTCTGGTGAATTCGAACCCTCGGATACCTACTTGTTTTTTTAACAATCGATATTCTTATATATCCGTTTTGCTCACGATTTATAAGTGGAGCTAAAATATCATTGCACTCGCTTTGCCCTATTTGTTTAAAATAGTGAATATGTCTTGCAACTGTTTCTTGTCCTTTCAAGGTCATTAATTTTCTCCACTCCACGATCGTAAGAGGGTTTCCCCTCTTCAACGTATATAGACTGAATATAAAGAAAAGATTTCAGATCTTATATAATGCTCGTTTCAGTACTCCTACCCGTACTAAGGTAAATTAACGAACGAAAGAATTATGAAAGATTCTGCCCTTGAAGGGACGATAGGTTTAGTCCATATATGATATGATATGATAAAAAGCCAGGAAAGGAATTGGATTTAGCACAGAACTTCTGATTTAGGCAAAATATAAAAGAATATTTATTTACATCAATGAATAACATAACAAACTTCACCCCCCACAACGACTATAATCTTAGGTAATTGAAAATTTTCCTATAACAAAGTGAACTTTAACATGCCAATGAAGGCACATGTCTTCTGGACTGTAGCATCGTATTGTCTGATAGAATTTCACCGACGTTTCAGAGGTACAGGGCGATTATCCTTGATGTTGGATACGTTGTTAATCTACCAGACTACTCGACACCATAACCCAAAATACCGCCATATTCGTAATCATCGCCGTTAAAACCCCAATTCATAACGATTTTTACGATAAAAGTGATTTTGAAACGTTTGAAATAAACACACTTCAGCGACGTACGTATACACACATCGTGTTTATGACGTCCTTATTCGACCCTGAAGCACGGGGGCTTTGGGGCAAAACTCTCCACCTGCGATGCCATCATAATCGTTACAGCAAGCTCTGCATTCATGACTGGCTGTGTATTGCTTTGCGCCTGTCGTAATTTACAGTGGCAGGTTAAACCTACGCGAAGTATATGGTACGTACCTCGGTCTTTGCTGTGGGTGAAGTTGAATAGCGATGGTGTATTGGAATATGACAAAGTACGGTACACAAAGTTTATTAATTTGACAATGTAAAGTGAACACGATACTTACGTAAAGTGCAAATTCAGTAGGCGTTTCTGAGGTGCAAGAAGGCATGGAAAAACCTAAAATATTTTCATATATACTTGTCATGCCTGATATGTAATTTAAAATCTTTTGGGACATAACATTTAAAAATGATAACAGTTATAATAACACAAATAAATTCGCGAAAAAGTTAAATGTCTGGTAATAGACCTGTACGTCGAATTTTGGAGAATATTGGGGCGCTGTACACAAAACTTGTCAGCATTAAAATGACATAAGAAAGGTCTAAATGTCTGATGAAATTAATAGTTGCGATTTCACGTTCTCACGGCGACGATTATAAAGATGGTTGTCTTCTGGGTTGTAACACCGTGTTTCGTAGACGTTTGTCGACGTTTTAGGTGTTCTTGCAATCGTCCTGATGATAGAGGCAGCAAGCACCTCTGAACTACCAGAGTACACGTCCCAAAAATATTAGGAAACAGCCATTTTCATACTTGATACCCTTAAAAGTCACAATATGTATTTGAAGATAATTATTGTATAAAAACGACAGCATGAATTTTATGGATATTGCCACTTTATATTTTTGGTCATAATAGTAGTGACATATTTAGAAAATCATTTTGAGTTCGTAATGTTTGTCTTACATTACTTTGTATTATTTTCAGCACAAAAAGAATTTGTGTAGATTGCCTTTCTACTGATTCAAGAATTTAAACTGTTTTCAGTGACTGGATGTAACAATTTTCATGCGCTATATGTTTGTACTTTTACTGTTATAAACAATTTCTTACTATCATCACTGCCCACGAAGCCTTATTAATTTGAAAAGCAAATATCACAATTCCGTCATACTAAATATGAAGCTATGGCCCTGTACTAGGAAAAAGGATTAAAGAGAACGAATGTTGCGCATTCTTTTGTTTCGTGCTGTATCTCCCCGTGTAGACATAAACTTGGCGATTAACCGGTTTCTTACCAAATGTCTGGGGCAAAGGCTTTCAACCCGCGGTTCACTAATGTGTTTTGAAGCACACTTTTGTAATATTTTATGAAACTCATTATATTAGAAACGTTACTTAATAACTGTCAACAATTCATGTTAATGTCGTCATTATTTTGCAGTAATTGTCTGCGCGAAGAATTTTTCAGCGCAATGAATAATGTAAAATGAATAAAGTAGATTATTCTGATGAACATTTCGAGAGATTCATGCGAATCAAAACAACAGAATGAAACCGAAAATTTATAGTTCACTCAAATAAAACGCAATGCCAGATTTCTCACTGATGATTGATTTATTAAAGAAATTTATCGGACAGGAATAATTTCTGAATATGTTTGCGCTTATTCGTAACATTCTTTAATATATTCAAGGCATTTCAGTAACGTATCCGTATTTGAAACCCTGTGGCCTGGTAGTTGATAACAAAGGCACAATGTGGCGCTTTGTCTGGAAAAAGTTAGGGACCCTAGATTTATAGCAGAGATTCTCAACGAGTAGGCTGCCGATGTGTTTTATGTATATGTTGTCAGTATTATATCTCTCTAGAAAAAAATGGCTGCCGTTTCTGTGAAGTATTAAATTTTAAGTGAGTAATGAGTATAGTAAAGTATCAGAAATATCTTAGAATAATTATTTAGTATATCACTGTTTTGCAATAACAGGTGAGTGGTATTTGCAGTATCTGAAATTGGTATGAAATTTTAATAGGTCGTCGTTATTTACAGCTCGGTGGATCGGGAGTCGATAAATGGCGGACGTATTAGCTATTTACAAGGTTAAGAACATTTAATCTAGAGGCTTAATTGTTTCGGAGTTAATTATTTATAAACGTATTTCTTACGACGAAATTTTTGGAAGCAGAAACGTAGTCGAAGGACAATTTGCAGCGTAATGTTGCGAACAGACCCATTTGAGATTAATGTTGTCGTCTGAAATGTTCGTAAACCTGAAAGGGTTTATGTTGCTGATTCCTTCCCTGTAAAGTTGCACCAATACTTCACTTGTCACAGATTCGTACACGAGAGTAATCGACGGTCGCGTGAGGTCAGTAACCAGTCGTGACCTCATGTTTGACCGTGGTATAATAGGGTCGGCTGCAGTATGCGCTGAATGTTTACAACAGACGAAGAACTTCTGGTGTTACGAGGTTCTCAATGTTTTTCTCTCGTTCCATAAACAGTTCTTCATAAAACTGATATTGAGGCTAGTCCTTTCATAAATTTCAATTTCAGGTAGAAGTAAAATGGAAATCTGTATAATATGTCATTTTACCTGGCGAACATTTATTATCTCAGGCTGAACAAAACCACGTTCTTCGGTAGAATACTATAAACTTCAAACATTAATTACATTACCTGTACTAATCAGATGTAACTAGAAACTTAAATTTAACTTTATTCGTATATTCATTTTATCA